TTTTAAGATATTTGAGGGCTGAGACATCCAAATGGCTCAACAGATAAAAGTACTTTCCACCAAGACTGGCAGCCTGAGTTCCATCCCAGAATCCCATATGGTAGAAGGAGGACTCTGACTCCCACAAGCTTGCCTGGAACCTCCGCGGGAGGGCAGTGATGCTGGTTACACACACACACACACACACACACACACACACACACACACACACACACAAAACCTCCAACCCACATACACTAAAAATGATAAAACTAATAGATGTTGTATTTAACATTTTAAAAATACATAGCCAATAACATAGGCTTCTTTCCTTTCAACTCAAGCACAAAAGCAATGAATGCAAGCACATCTTGACCACAGGCAAATCTAAAATGTAGTTTGGTTCACAACATTGGTGTCTTGTGTATACGTAAGACTATGAGGGATTGTCCATTAAATTCCAGTCTTGTGTATGAAAGAATCTCAGCATACACAGACTGGATTTTCAGACAGACACTAAAATGCCAAGGGAATCTCTAAATTCTTCTGGTTCCCATCTCTGAATGTCAGATAACACGATTCAAGAACAGCTGAATCCCCAAGCCTCAAGTTCCCACTGGATAAAAATGTCTCACATTGCAAAGGTTTTACAATGTAATTTTATTACAGCATTGACATCATTTTCTTTGCACAATCATTCTGTAGGGAAAAGCCTGTGTATTCATTGCCATGTTTTCATCTATAGTATAGTGATGATGATTTGTGTGAAGTGCAATCATTTTAAAACTATCTAATTATTTCTTTAATGGCACTATCACATTATTTTTATTTTTATTAGAGGTTTGAAGTTGATATTTTGCTCTTAAATTTTTTTCAGAACAATCTAAGCATGGCTTGAGAAGACTCTTGGGGTACAACTTGAACTAGATAATGTAGAAAAAGTTCAAAATATTAAAAACATGCAAATGTACATTGTGTAAAATGGAAAGAAAAATGAATCAAGCTTTTGATTTTCCCTGTGGGAAATAACTTTAATTTTATGAGCAAAGACTGTTGCTGGTTTACTTCAGGGAAAGAATTTAACTGATTTTTCTAAAAAGACATTTTAAGCAAGGAAGTTGGACCATAATCAGCAAACTGGCAAGGTCGGGTTGACTTGGTAATCAGGGAGGTCTTTGTTTAAAGCTACCGATGAATAAATTTCCTTTTTCATGTCAGGAAGAGTCAAAGCCTGAGACTTTGGGCAGCTGTAGAGCATTTGACACGATCTTTTCTTTTTCCATGAGAAATTCTCAGATAGCATTAACTCCTATGTTTTCTTTTAGAAAGAAATTTTGTTCACAAAGGCTGTGAGATTTCACATGTCATGAGATTTCATCTGCATTGTGATTGGTTTTTTTACTTCTATGTTTAATCTTTCCTTAAATTCCTTGGTTATTTGAAGAAAGGGATTAGGGTGACTCATTTGTAGAACATGCTGTTACTGCTGATGTACACTGTTCTTAACACCCAAAAGCCATGGACACTTTATGGTAGGGGACTGTAAAAAGTCTACATTGAACTGTTCTAGGGGGCTGAGAAGGTGGATCCATGGTGTGGATGCTCATTGCTGTTGCAGAGGACCTAGTTTCCATTCTCAACACGGATGAAGTCTTATCTGAGTCAATATGACTAATATCAAGGGGACAAACAACAGTAATAGGGATGTGGGGGAGGGAGACTCTATTCACTGCGGGTAGAAGTTAAACTGGTATCTTCACTGTGGACATCAGTACAAAGAGTTCTCAGAAAACTAAAATCAGAACTACCACATGACCCAACTGTGCCACTCCTGAGTATATTGGAATAGACCACAGATACATCTGTGTTTATTACTGCTCTATTTATAGTAGATAACAAACCACTCCAATGGCCCATCCATAATGAAATGATAGAGAATACCGTACATATGCACAATGTCATTCTTTTCATTCATAAAGAAAACTAATCAGGGCATTTGCAAGGAAAATAAATGGGGGTAACTGATTTTTATTGTTGAGCCAAAAAAAATGCTAAGAGCCAGAGAGGCAAATATCACCTTTTTTCTCTGATACATGGATCCTAGATCTTAAATCTTTATGGGAAAATGTGTGAATTTTCTATACATGGAAGAGAGTGTGTGTCATAAAACTTGAAAGGGGACATGAGAGTGGAGAGAGATCTTAGAGACCTTAGACGATTACAGAACATGTGTGACATGAAAGCAGAAAGGGGGAATTGTAGGGAGAATGGGGCCCAGTGGAAAGGGAAGAAGCAGATAAGGAAGAGAGACTGGAGGGGGAATCAGGAGAGGATCAACAAGAGCAGTGAATGTATGAAAAACCACAGTGAAACTCCTTACTTTGTATAATAATTTTAAATGACTACTTTAGACAACAGGAAAGTATCACTTCTTATGCTATGTGATTTCTTATTCTGTGATCTCAGTGGATACAAAAATATCTTAGTTTGGTTTGGGTTTTGATTATTTTTGAGACTGTAACTTAGTGATATTTCTTCCTTTACCTTTCCTCCCTCCAAAGTTTCCCATAGATCCCTTTCCACTCTCCTTCAAATGCATGGCCCCTTTTTAATGTTATTGCATGCATATTTGTATAAACATGCATATTCCTATTTTTACCTGTTGAGTTCAGGGATGACAACAATAGGCATGACAAACTGGATGGAGAAAAGCTCATGAGGCCCCAACCCTGAACAAAACATACTACGTGCAACAGACGGGAGCTGGGAGCAGGAAAGATAGTCCTTCCCAGGGAAAACATTCCAGTTACTTATCAAATATCAAATAGTCAGCCCTCAAAACATGCATACAAGTAACACCAGCTGCTTTTGTATGATGGCATATTAACTATTCAACATCTAGGGAACCCTAAGCTGTGATACTGTGTTGACATCAGTGTGGTACAAAGAATGACAGGCCTAGTTTCTGTGTCCAAGGTCTGGATAAAAGAGATGTTATGAGATTAGACTTTGAAAGTGGACACTCAGACAATTTTTCATTTTCCTATACCATGTTGGCTTTTTATACGAAATATCACAGCTAACCTTTAACTTCCTAACTCAATTGGGAAGAGGGGGACAGTGACTGTGAAATTGTTCTCATCCAACACCGGCTACCCCAAGACATAGAAGTCAGTGCTCTTTGGCTTTGTTTTTACTTAAGAAATAAATACAGAATACGCATGTACTGTCACACATCTTTCTCTTTAAGGTTGGAAGATCACTGGGTTTCAATTCCTCCAACTTCCTGCACTAGCTATGTGAGCAACCGCCTTGCTTCCTCTAGTTCTCTAGGGAGACAGCATATTTTAAGATTCTTAGTCCTTTCCTCAAAATTCCTGCTTCTGGAGACAAGTGTCAGGAAGTAGCAGAAACTGACTTATGTACTCTTCCAACCTGCCACTGGGTCATTGTGTACATTTTAAAGGTTTTTAAATCTTATATTCAGTGCTTGTACCTTGATCTATACATCTATATTTCTAATGAGGTTTACTAATCACTTTCAACAGCTGGGTAAATTATTAAATTATTGAAGTTCTAATAAGTTTTTCTCTTCTACGTGTTTGATTCAGGTACATTTGTTATACACGCATATTTATATGCATGAATTCAGGCACATGTGTGCAGTACACATGTGACATCAGAAGGCCTCAGAGGTCAGTCCTCACCTTCCCCTTGCTTGACACAGGGTCCCTTAGCTATGTCCCACATGTTCCAAGGATAATACTTTCTCTGCCTCCCATCTTGTCCTAGCTGGGATTACAGACTCACTATCACTCCCAGCTGAGTCCTAACACTATACAGGGCAAGGGCATTCTCAGGTGAGCCATTTCTCCAGCCAAGGGCTAAACTTTTAATTCACTACTTAGATTTATGAAAGGTTTGTCTGACCCAAGGAGAAAACTTTTTTCCTCTTCCTTTTATTTATTTAAGTTAGAAACGTGTTCTTTTCACTTGCCAATCCCAGCTCCCTCTCCCTCCCCATCCCTCCCCACCAGGCCCCCCCACTCAGTCTCCACTCCGATCCCCAAGGAGGGTGAAGCCCTCCATGGTGGATCTCCAGAGTCTGTCATGTCATCCAGGGTAGGGTCTAGGCCCTCCTTCATGAAAATGGGAGTAATGAAGAATTCACTTTAATCCAGAAAGTAATAGAACTCTGATTTTTATAGACAGAAATGCTGACATTTTCAAAGAGTAGGATTTGCTGGGCTAGAGCTTTATGGGACCAGAAATTTTTGTGAGTTTTATTGACAGTTGAGTGTGACCTAATCAATATACATTACCGTAGGAAATTCTTGATGATATATTCAGATTAGACTGTCAATATTAACCTTATAATTTGATTTCACTTTAGAGCTTTAAAAATTCTCCCATAGTAGTAATATCTCATATTTGTAAATTATACAGTGTGACCCTGTAATTGTGGCATCAAAATAACATAGTGAAGTTATCAAACTATAACATTCTTTATATCAATTCTCTCTCTATCTATCTATCTATCTACCTATCTTTCTTTCTCTCTCTCTCTCTCTCTCTCTCTCTCTCTCTCTCTCTCTCTCAACAATATCTTACTATACCTTCCTGGCTATCCTAGACTTCCTTTATAAACCAGAGGTCCCCTGCCTCTGCCTTTCTAGGGCTGGGATTAAAGTGTGTGCCACCACACCCAGCTTCTTTAAGAGACTACTAAGCCATGACCTTTATATGTGAAACACCATAGACAGTAACCTTTTAAACAGACTAAGCTCAATAGATTTGCTCTTTAAATGGCCTCACTGTCAGAATGTGTTTCTGTACAAATATCTCATATGCTCTCTCATATGACTTGAGTCCAAAACTATCATGTGGAAGTAAACGATATTGATCACAGGTTTGGCTCTATCATCACAGTTGGAGTAAAAAAGCCTACTATAAGCAAGGCAGGACTCCTTGGGTGAGTGGTGTCCTCTGGGAGAACTCATGCTTTGTGCGTCCTTCCCCAGGATCTGTCACTGCGAAGGGGACGAAGAGAGCCCACTCATCACACCCTGTCGCTGCACAGGCACCCTGCGCTTTGTTCACCAGTCCTGTCTCCACCAGTGGATCAAGAGCTCAGACACACGGTGCTGTGAGCTCTGCAAATACGACTTCATAATGGAGACCAAGCTCAAGCCCCTTCGGAAGGTACAGTGTGGGTTGGGCAGAACAGGGATGGGAGAAAGAACTTGCGAAATAGTCTCGTTTTCAAATGTAGCTTCCTCTTTGATAAGATTCTGCCAACATACTAATGTTCATGGAAGATGCTCGTCCTGTAGTGGACTCGATGGGCAAAATGCAGCCATGCCTTTACGTGTAAATTAGTTTGTTCCATCTTCAAAGGTGGACACTTATGTAAGTGCATAGAGAAGTACATATTAACTGTGTATATATGGAAAACACAACTATAATTCAAGACAATTGAATTGATGAGAAGCATCAGAATGTTCATCCATAGAGGTCAGTTAGATAATAGAATCCACTAAATAACATGAACTCATTTAACTTTTTAAAAGGTGACTATTAGATAATAAGAGAATGATTTATTCTATAAGATGAGGCCTAATTTCTTTTAATGTTTGGTCCAATGTTTTTATTTAACACTAAAGGAGGTAAAAAGAAAAGACACTATTGTCTATACTATTCATCAAGTTGCAAGAGAAATAAAAGTGTATTTTTAATCTATAAAATTTATCTTCAAAACCTTCATTTGTGATAATTCTTTTCTAGAACATGACAGTGACTGTGAGCCAAGTATAAACCTAAAACGTCAGAGTCACCAACAGAACATTTGTCAAGGACACAGATGAGGACGATGTGCTGTGTATAATTCATTCTCAAGCCCTGGAATTTCCCAATTTTTCATTTAACTTAGAAATCTTTTTGTCTCTTAAATGCAGCCTCACACACAGACACACACACACACACACACACACACACACACACACACACATATATATATACACACACACATATATATATATACACACACACATATATATATATGAAACATATCTGTGTATATAGATGCCTCTATATCCAAAAGGAGTGTGGAGATTGCAATTAAAATAATGAATCAGCCCAGAGCTGCTTTTCTGTTTAAGCTAAATGCAGAGCTAAAGCAGATAGAAAGAGTGATACATGGAAATAAACATGATGTGTTCCAAAATGAGATGAGATGAAAGCAAACAAAACTATCTCACTAGACATCTAATGGGGGGTTGGCCATGCCGTCATTGTAACTCTTCATTTATTCTTTAAATTATGGGAAAGCATAATGCCCTATTTAAGTAGTAGACTTTTTAAATTTGTTTTTCTTCTAATTTGTAAATAGTTTATAGATCTCAAAACTATATATAAATTACCTCTAGGGAGATGCATTTTTAACGGGGTCACTTGAATGCCAAAAGGTGACATGGTTCTCTGGCCCCAGAGCAATCATTACAGAAGTAGAACACAGTGGGTACTCTGCACTCTTGCTTTATGTGCTAAACAGATACTATACTGAAGAAACTGAATGGTGTGTGGTGATTCTTTGAATTTATCTTCTCGTCCCTCATGGGATTACAAGTAGTTTCACAACATCTGTACCTCTTCCCGTCCCTTTCCCATCCCTCTACCCACACAAAAGTTTCATTTCAACTTAGTTGAATATAGTATTTGAATTTGAAAGCAATAATCTAGAAAAATAGCATACTCAGATAGTCTCTTTTGTATTAAGCCTTCCAACACTCTCTTTCTCTCCTCTCCTCTCCTCTGTCTCTCTGTGACTCTGTCTCTGTCTCTGTCTCTGTCTCTCTCTCTCTCTCTCTCTCTCTCTCTCTCTCTCACACACACACACACACATGCACGCACACATATGTGTTTGGGAAAGCATAACACATTAAACATGTCAATGCAGAAGAACTCAAATCTATCCTATTAGAATAACTCTTTAAATACACCTAGATCTTTTCTTAATATGTGATTATCAGTAATTTACAACTAATCTCTTTGTAATTGGCACAACAAAACCTCATGGGGAGAGAGGTACAGTGACCTATGAATTTTTTCCATAAAAGCCCGAACAACCTGTCTCAGAACCACTCAGTTGGAATATTTTCAGTGAGTGGCCCTGACCAAACTCCATATTGGTCAGTATTTAGTATTTTAATAAAGCTGCTTTAATTTGGCCCAAAACGGTGGAACTGAATGTGGCTCCTTAGCAGCCCACAGATATGCTTTATCTAAGCCATTAAACTTGAATATTAGTTATCAGTCTCTAACTATGGGATTATTTAAGGTCATATTTCACACATGAAAATATGAATAACACAACACCTGACTTACTGGAACCATGTTCCTATATGACTACAGAGGTGGGGATAACATGGGAGTAGAGTGTTGCCTTGCCCCTGCAATTTGCTTTCAAGTTCTTTGTATTTCTCACCCCTCGTGTGATCTTGAGGTCCCCACACTTGTCATCTCTATTTGTACAGCTGAGACCTGGAAGGAAAATGTGAATATTCAGTTCCTGTGTAAGGCAGAGTTCATAGACATGAGGAGTGAATGCATCCTATCCATCCCAACGGGACATTCAAAACCTCTCTTTAAAAATATGAGGCCCAGCCGATGTATGTGAGAGGCAGTCTCTTCAACATCATTTTGGATTGCGAGGCGGTTCAAAACAACATATAGAAAGAATTTTAAACTGTTCTACATGGTTTGTTTTGATGGGATGGAAGCTCACCAGTGTAATCTTTTGGTAGTTTTTAAGTATTCATAAAGAATTTCAGGTATAATGTTTGGTAAGAATATATTTGAAGTACATTCAATTTAATTGCTCTCAACTCAGTAATTCCATTACATTTTACAACATTCTAAATACCAAGCACATGGAACAATTAATTTAGCTAATGATTCTGGATCTCTACCATCAGAAAATGGAGGTAGGAGACTGTGATTAGATGAGATGACTTCTTCAGAGAAGGTATCAGTCTTCATAGGCTGACGGAGCTCGGGGCTGACGGAGCTTGGGGTTAACCTCTGTACAGATACCAGTGAAGCCTTACCTCATTGATTGCCATTCCTATGCCAAAAATTACAGTTAGCAAATTCATCAAGTTACCCTAATGTCTGCAGAAGAAAATCTTTAAAGTAAAAATAAAATCAAGGGTTTATTCCAAGGAAAGCAAATCCCCATCATCTTTTAAGTCCGTAGCTCAGCTACTTTTATGACAATCAATAAAAGTCCCATTAACTTGCTTAGTTACCTGGGGCCAGGAGAAATTCTCAGAACCTAGGAAAGTAAATTTTTTTTAAAAAATCACAAATAAAGCAAGTGATGAACTAGTAAAATCTGAAAAGGTACACACTGTTGATTAGGAAGTACGAACTAAATTTGCATTCTGAAACTAAAGTCTAGGATTCCAATCTGAATCTCCCTGAGTGAGACGCCAGAAGCCAGTTTCTGGCATACAACAGGTTCACAAATACAACAAGTACTACTGACGACTTATGTACTGCCCTAAATTATTTGTGCTTATAAACTACATTACTTTTGCCTCATTTAACTAATTCAACCCACGTTAAGCCTGTTCTGAGTTCTGGATCCCATTAAACATAAAAAGAAAAGAGTCACCAAATCAAATTTAATGCCACACACTGCAAAGATCTTTGTACCCACTGGATGGTACATGATGGTCACATAGTTCCTGGGTTCTAATTAAGGATCATTAACATTTGTTTTTCTGGGTATAGAGAGGCACAAAAAGCTGAGGCCAAATGATCAAGTGGTTATTGCCACCTTGAGCGACACAGCAAGATCTCTTCAAAAGGCTGAGTGATGGGATGACTTCAATTTTTGCCTAAACTATTTCTGATTGAAGTGTTTTGAAAGAATTCTAAAACAATTTTTCCTATAATCTTCCTCCTGAAATCTGGAGGAAACACTTTAGCCAGTATCCTTTTCCCTAGTAACCCAGTTACTCTGTTATGTGCACAGTAATCATTTCTCAGCCAAACACTGAATGCATTAATTCAAAACTTTGTGTTATCTTCACTGTGTTTTCCCCAATTCTTTAAAGATGTTTTCTGAGCCCATCAGTCTGTCTGTGTTCTTTCCTCCTTGCTGTCAGCAATTAACACCATTTCTCTGTTCCTGGGATAACCTTAGTCAGCACTGTGCGCAATTCTTTCCTGATGTAAGCATCAGTAGCAGAGCCAAGTGAGCTGCCCTATGGGAGTTCCCAAAGGTTGGATTCCATTCTGGTGACCTTCTCCATGATTCTACTTTATGGCCAGCAGAATTGTCTGTGCCCCCATACACATTAGGACCTCATTCTGGGATTCGCAGACTTCCTTTTCTCATCCTTACAGGTCTCAGTTTTATTCAAAATCTTGACTTCACAGGATGAGAAAGCCCTCAGCAGATAGAGCTATGTTGCTTCCAGGCTGTTCTCTTGTCAACTGAGCTCAGATTTGGAAGTTTTCTATTCCTTTTCTTCATAATCATACAAGGTCACAGACCTCTGTCCTAGTACATAGTGCAGACAGAACTTTCTCTGGCTTGTTCGGAATGATCATAATTCTCAATGCATCCATGTTCTCCTGTTGATTTGTACTTAGTCTCAGATACCATAATAACACCCCGACAGGAAACCTAAGAGGCTCAAAAGACTATTTTCCAGTTTATACTGTCCCATTGCTAGATGTGTTTCTCACAACTTGTTCAGTCTATTGGTGATGATATCAAACATGCTTTCTTTCCTACGATGCCATTCACAAAAATGGAGTGTCTAATTGTCTGACTGTCATAGACAGGACACAATGAACACCTTACTAAATGAAACAAAAATTATTATTTAAATATTTTACCTTTATAGACGCACTAACTTTCCCAATAAGTTGGGGGTTTTGTTAGTTATATTGCTTTAGTACACGCATATTCCTGTAACTATAATTTATATTTCAGTTAAAATAATATTGCAATGTGAATACATGACATTGCCTACATGTCTTCTGTCAAGTAAGAATGAGATGGAAAATATGGGCATCTTGTTCATTCTAGTAGATATTTCGATCTAGTTATATGGGTTTTTAATCTTTGTGCCTTTAAATGAAACACTAGTAAGTCAAAGAAATATATAGTTATCTAGGGTCAGTACTAT